ATGTTGGCTTCTCCCTATTCTCTCTCATTTCTCTCTTTCTCTCTCTCTACCAGGGGTGACACACCAAGATGGATCTTGCCAAATGAAGGCCACTTGCTGAGAAGCGAACTTTAGTTCATTATAAAGTTCCTGACCTCGGGCCTTCTGCTACAGTCACGAAACATGAACCGAGACAATGACATCTCAACTCACACTTGCTGGATGGCTGTGATCAGAAATACGGAAAATAACAAGCATCGGTGAGGGCGTGGAGAAGCTGTGGCTCCGAAGAAGTTAACACAGAATTTCTCCATGAGCCTGCAACTCCTCTCCTAGGTAGACATCCAAAAGAACTGGAAGTCAGGGACTCAGATGCTTGTACACCAGTGTTCGTAACAGTGTTGTACACGACAGCCGAAGGTGGCCTTTAACAGATGAATGGATGAACAGAATGAGGTACAGTCCTAGCATGGGGTTGTTATTTAAGGATAAAGGTGGTTGCATGCTAAAACACGAATGAACCTTGAACACCTCTCATGCCAACTGAAAGAAGCAAGACACAGAAGAAACAAAACATTTATGTGTCCATTGATCTCAACTCTTCAGAAAGGGAAACTCACAGCAACAGGAGATGGGGTGTGGAGCGGGGCTGCTGGATGGGCCAGCTTGATTTCCTGTCATGGTGATGAAACACTTGGGGACTTGATAAAGGTGCTGGCATACAACCTCAAGAATGCACTGAATGCTAAGAGGTGTGCACGTTAAGAATGGTAACTTAGGTTGCATAAACTTCACTTACATATTAAAATACTGAAAATAACAAGGTGTACATTGAAAACAGTGTTAACCTCTTCCTTACCCGCCCTCTCCTCCACCCACACATCATAACTAACTGCTTTTATTAGTTCATCTGCTGTCCTTTCATGTTTCCATCTACAAAGCAAGGCAGATGTGAACTATCCTGGTTTTCTTTTTTTCCTCCACCAAAGATGGCAACTATATATAATTTTAGCTTTCACTTAACAAATTATATTATAGAGTTCTGCTCTCTCCTCTTTCTATTTTCCATCTGGATAATATCCATGCTCTATGAAACATAGTTTCTTTGATGCAAGCATTTGTGCTTAGAAATTTCCCTCTTGGCAACACTTTTACTTGTGCCTGGAATGTTGATATTTGCATTTCAGAGCATGCAATTCATTATGTATATTTATTTCTCCTGGCAAAATTGTTATTCAGAAGCATGCTGCTTAAGTTTCAAGTGTTTGGATATTTCTGTCTTGGTTACTAGTCTAATTTTATTAGGATCAGAGAAAATACTTTGTATAGGTTCAATTCTTCCCATCCTTCTCCCTTCCATTTTATAAAGCTTTTCTAATTTGTTATTTTGAGATAATTCAGATTTGCATGAATTTGCATGCAGTTGTAAGAAAGTTCAACTGAGCATCACTGAAGTGTTCCATCACTTGGGAGGCACAGTTTAAGGCCAGCTGAACAAAAAAGTTAGTGAGACACTATCTCAAAAAGCCAAGTCAAGTGTGCTAGCTCGTGCCTGTAATCCAGCTTCTTGGGATGTGGAGGTAGGAGATTGCAGTCTGAGGGTGGCTGGGCAAAAGTGTGAGACCATATCTAAAAGCAAATTAAAAGCAAAAAGGGCTTGGGTGTAGTAATACATTTGCTTAGCAAGAGCAAGTTCCAGAGTTCAAACCGTCTACTGCAAAAACAACACCAACCAAAACAAAGAGAGAGAAAGAAATAATTCAGAAAGATCCTGTATATCTGTTACAGGCTGAATTGTGTCCCCTCCAAAATTATTTTGAAGTCCTGAACCCTCAGAACGTGAGAATTTTGGAGATAGAGGTCTTCGCTTCTGACCCCTTGATTCCTGGACTACTGTGCGACCTCGAACTGGAAGACAAGGAAATTCTGTTGTTAAGCTGTTTTGTTTACAGTGGCCCTTGGACCATGTAACCTACACCAGCTTCCTGTGGGAAACTGGCACCGTTACGGACAGTCATAATCAGAAATTGATAGACAGACGTGATCTCACTCATTTCAATCTGGCTCACGTGCACTTGTGAGTGTGTGTGCGTTTCTGTCTGCTGTTGTGAGAATTTTCTCATGTGGACATTCATGTGACTATCACCATGGCCAAGGTACAAATGGTATCTTTCCTGTCCCATGCTCTTCTCAGCTGCAACCTTCTCTGTCCTCCACCTTCAAAATTCTATTTCAAGAGTGAGTCGTGAATGGAATCGCAACTAGCACGCACGCTATTCATCCAGCCAGCTCCCTGCCATTTAGCACGGGTTAGGGTGTCAACAGCTCATTCCTTTTATTTGCTGAGTAGTATTCCAAGGTATGGCTGTGCCATAAGTTGGTTTGCTGAAAAGACAGTTGGGTTTGTGTTTTTCAGTTTGGACTCTTACAAATACTGCTGCTGTAATGTGCATGGATAGACTTGTGTGTGGACAAAAGTTTTTCATTTCTCTAGAATAGAGTGTTACCTCCTTTAACTTTCAACCTTCCCTATAATTTTTGTAAGTTTAGGCATTTAAAAATCCTTTCTGCCAGTCCTTTTTTCAATTAATTGATTACATTATTTGCATTTAACATAGTCCCTTTATATGCTGACTTTAATCCTAGCATACACCTTCTTTTGGGGTATTTGAAGTTTTAGTATTCTGATTTATTTTACTTTTTAAAAGTATATCATGTATATATGTATTTTTAGTAGTTGGCCTAGAGATTATAAAATATATTTACATTTTCATGAGATTCTACTACGATGTCAAGTAGAATATAGAAACCTTGTCACATTTAGCTCCTCACTGTCCCTAGCTCATTTTGTTATTGTTATACTGTATGGCCTTTCAGAATCGCGCCAAATAATACTCTGCATGTTTTCAGCCATCAGGCTAATTTTGAAGAACTTGAAGAGAAGAAAAGTAGTCTATCATTTTTATGCCACGACTTTTACTCTTTCTTCATTCTTGCATTCCAAGTTCTTTCCGGTAATTTCCCTTTTGTTTGAAACATGTACTGTTAAGCAGGTATGCTGCAACAAATTCTATTTTTTTATTCTGGAGAAGATCTTTATTAACCTGCATTCCTGAAGTGTCTTTTGCTGGAGTATAGGACTCTTGGTTGAGATTTTCTTTTCAGTAGGTTAAAATATGCATTTCCACTTTCTCTAGCTCTCTGTGTGTTATCTGAAATGATTTCTTTCAGATTATTTGGGTCATTGTGTGCCTATTAAGGAATAATACTGGGGTTTGAACTCAGGGCACCTCCTCTCTTTTTTTTGTGAAGGGTTTTTTCAAGACAGGGTCTCACTATTTGCCAGGGTTGGCTTTTGAACCACGATCCTCCTGATCTCTGCCTCCTGAGTAGCTAGGAATTATTGCTGTGAGCCACCAGCGTCCAGCTTGTTTTTTAGTTTTAAAGTAGAGTTTTGTTTATAGCTTTTCTGGGAATGGATTTGTTGGGGCTTATCCTGCTTGGGGTTTCTCAACTGTGGTTTTTTTAATATTTTCACCCAGATTGGAGAGTTTCCAGTCATTGGTTCTTCATTTTCTTTTTCCCTGCATTGCACTCTTTCCTTCCTCCTTCTAGCCATCCTTCCTGAGGCTTGTTCACCTTCCATTTCCGTCCTTGTTTCTTTTTGCGTGTTTAAGATGGGAAAAAATTTATTACTGCATCTTCAAGTCACTGACTCTTTCCTTTGTCATATTTGTTTTGCCCACCGTGTGAATTTTAAAATTCCAGTTATTGTACTTTTTCAGTTCTGAAACTTCCAATTGGGATCTGGAGGATGTAGCCTCTGGTGCTTACTTAGCATGTAGGAAGGCCCTGGGTTCCATCCCCCGCACCGCTAAAAACAAAACCAACAAAAAACTTCCACTTGGCTTTCATTTACATTTTCTGTTTCCTTTTGGGGCAACCTGTCTTTCCATTCATTTCAAGAAATTTCACCCTTGTCAGAATACACTTGTAATAGCTGCCTTAAAGTCTTTGTTAGGTAAATCCAACCATTTGGTGTCATTTTGATTTTTCTAGTCTCTTCAGATTACATTCTGGAAATCTACCACACACACACACACACACCACACCACACACACCACCACCACACACACACACACCACACTCAC